ATGATGACAACTTTCATTAAGAGCAGTGATCATATACAACCAGGCAGAATGTTTACCTTACAGAAGATACATTTTTTTATGACTGGAAGCAGTATAAATTAGGGAAATCCTCAGATTTACAGAATAGCAATAGATATGAAACATGTTATTAGATAGCACACTCATTAAATTTTACAAATAAATTTGGTTCATTTCAGATACCAAAAATAAAAATACTGTGAAATTTTTCTCCTGCAAATACTGTTGATATATTGATTATTATTATTTTTTGGTAGAGCCTCCATCTCAATCAAAGGAAAAGCAATCAGTATTCCATATGCTTCATAGCAGTTAGTCTCTCTCTCTGTCTCGCCTGGCTCTGATGCCCTTTATAAGTTTGCCAAAGGCAGATGGGAAGGCAGGCAAACAGGCAGCTCAGTAGGTGCTGGAACAATCTGTCTGCAGGTTCTCCTGAAATGAGATCCAGAGAAGGAAAGCTGCAGAATACCAAGGAAAGAGAGGCAACAGAGAGTATTCTTGTGAGACTGTATGTTTGTGGGAACAAGCAGAGGTTGTCTTGCTCGTGTGCACAGAAAACCTGCGATGATGAATGGATAGGTAAAATGTAGAAGAGGAAAAGAAGAAAACAGTGCATTAGAAAAGAGAAAATAAAGGGTTTCTTCTGAATTCTGGAGCCACAGCTTTTGTGCCTGCTTCAAAAACCTATTTGCAGATGTCTTAACAAACAGAAACCTCCATTGATTTTCTTTCCTGTGAAGTGAAGTTGCGAAGCACTTTATTCAAATGCTTTATACATCCCTACTGTCTGCATTCACTTTTTTTTTTTTTTTTGGCAATGGCAAAGCACCAGATTGCTCACAGTACTTTTTGTTTTTGATTTCTTAAGTGGCCACTTTACAAATGACAAGCTACCAATATTTTTCCATCCCTTCTTATTTCATTAAGAGTATCTGCTTCCAGACTACTTCCCATGAACCTTCAGTGTCCTGTTCATGATGCCTCTGTATAGGATTTGTTTGGGCTACAATATATCTTGCCTTCTGACTGCACAACCACACCCTCATGTAACTATGGTTACAGCTAGTGAGAAAAGCACCTCTTTGCCGAAGTGTCGGCATGCTGTTCCTTTTCGTCACCAGAGCTAGCAATACACTTTAAAATGCAAAAGAAGAAATTTGGCTTGGAATTTTGCAGCTACTCCTTTGTTTGCTCAGATGTATTTACAGGTGGCTAGATGAGTACATACAAGATCTTAAGAAAATATGAAATGATACTAGGGAAGCGACAATACATTTTATTTATTTTCTGCATGGTTTATGGGAAAGGGAGATCCAAGGCCTATATTTTGCAGCAGCACAGGAATTGAATGATATCCTACAAAATTCTACTGGACATTGGACAGGAAATACTTACAGTCTCCTTAAATTTTCTATGCATAGATCTACATAGGGTTGCAAAACTAGTTTCAAAAGGGTTTGGAGAAATGAGGAAAAGAACGTGCTCTTAGAAAGCTAGCAGTTTTCTTGGGGGTCATCTTCCTGTGGAAAATCTTATCACTGCCATCCCTTCTCATCAGTACATCTGTCATACTTCTGAAATAGTCTGGGTTTCTTCTGATTTTAGAACAACTTGTAGGACAAGGAGTGACAGAAGCTGGGTTTGGAGTCAAAAGAAGAATCATCCTGGACTCTCTGTGTAGCCATAAACGGACTTAGTCAACATAGAAACTCCAGGCTGATTCTTCTTTCGAATCTGCTCTCAGGTTCTGCCATTCCTCCTTCTATTCAGATACAACTATTCCTCAGACTGTTCCATATATTTTACCAATCATTCCTTTATGGTCTTGAAAATTATGTCACATTCATAGTTGCATTCTCCTCCAAATGTTACATGTTTATATATTTACAACATCTTTAACTCCTATTATCTTTTATTGCTGCCTTATGGAAAAAAAATAGATGCTTTTGGAAGTGGCCCTTCGGAGCCCCAACCTGCAGTTTCAGCTCCCTCTAGTACTTCTGCTTCTGCTGACCTATTAGCTGGTAATGAAATATAATTGTGGTGTTTTTTTAATAAAGGGTGTGCATGTTTTTACTGCATCTTTTCTGTACTGTGACCGAAATAATAGCCAATGAACCATCACTAAGGCTACTATACTTCCAAACTAAACATTCTGTGACACCTACCACTCTAGGAAGCTATATTAATTTCTCTTTATAAATATTAGTAATTATAAGTATTAGTAATTGCTGCTTGCAGAAAATATCCTTAGTTATAATTAAGACATTGAGAAGCTCATGTGTTCCCCCTGTTTACCTGTGAATTTATATGATACTATTCTATTTATCTACATATTGGTCGATACTATTAGTCTATAATAATTACCAAGTAACATGTAATTAGTAGCAATCTGATTCTTACGGTATACAGCTGTGTACTAGATTTGAAAGAACGGTCAGGAAAGAAGGCATAAATTGTTGCTAAATAAGATCCTCTCAATCCAGGGTACATGAACCAATTTAATTATGACGGTATTTCTTATGTTAGTTCAGAATGGCTTTCTGCTTGTTTTACTGAATGTCTGAAGCTAGGGTCTTCAACAGGACAGGGAATGGAAATTCACTTAGACTTCAAAAGAAATTCCATTTCTAGCTCCATAAATTTATTGTTGTTACTGCTTTGAATATTCAATGAACACCCAGAAGAGAAGATATAAAACAGATACAGATTTATTAGAAAGCATACATTCTGATAAATAGCTACGTATTAATTCACCTTTTGTTTTATTTGAGATACACAGTTCAGAAAATATGCTTTATAGTTTGATTTTCTTTGCTACGGTTGAAACTTGATAGTGCATGCTAATGTGTATAGTGTGTTTTGTTCCGTCAGTCCTAGGTAGACCAGGTTAGAAAACTAAAGTCATGCATGCTAATATTGTTTTCATTACAAGAGTGCAAAGTCTTATAAGTCTGACTTTGCTTCCCTTTTCCCTTTAACCTTCTGAGAAGTAGGGAGGGTCTTGCCTGAAATATTTACTCAGATTACAATTCTAGCCTGACTCAGATTTCTTTTATCTCAGTGTTGTCTTGGTTGCAGTTCTTCCTCCTGTTCCTCGAGGTTATTCCTTCTGCAATTTAAACCAGGAAGGAGAAACAGTTTCTACAAACCGAAATAGCAGTGGTCAAAATGGGTTGCTAGTCTAATCAATGCCAAATCCGCCAACTGTTTATAACACATAGGGGAAAAGAATGACATTAATTGCTGACCTATTCTGTCTTCCTGAGATTAATTTTTAAATAATAAATGTAAACGTGCAACCTTTCTCCTACACAGATACAAATCTAACCTTTTTTAAAAAGCCGTGTTAATCCCTTGTGAAGTAAGGCAACATTTTGTAAACCTCAGAGAAGGTGGGGGAGGAGTAAAATGTAATAACTTTTTAAATTTCTTTTTCTGAAAATCTTATTAACTCCATCCAATAGTCTCAGTTTTCCCCTTTTCAACAAGCACTGTTCTTATTTGTTTGTAATTTGATACTCATTCAGTCTCTGTGTATCACCAAGCTTTAAAGTACTCCTTTCATACCCACTAGCTTTTGTGTTCAATTTGTATTCTTTCAGCATCCATTCTTGACCCTATCTCTTCTTGTTTTACCACATTTACTTCTAAGTAAGCAATTTCCAATTAGTGTTTTCATTTCTCTTGACATTTCCAATCCTTACAAAATGAGCAGAAGCACGCTTTTTTGGATAGCCTTTTCACTTTTTTTGCTTCCATTTGTTTTTAAAATATGTGCTACCGACTACTTTTCTATTTCTCAAAATGTCTCCATTTTCTCATGGCTAGAAAATATTTACTAAGATACACAATTGTATGTCTGCTTTGTTTTGCCACTTATGTATCTGTTGTAATTATTCATTCCATCTTGCCTGTCAAACACAAATGCCTTCACATTAGTACATTAATTTTCAGAACCACACTCCATTTTGCAGAGTCTCCAACCCTCGGGCCATGGCCTTCAGAACCAGTGGGCCCGTGCACACGCAGCTTCACTTGCGTGAGCATTAGGCTGGCACACACAGCTTGATTTGCGTAAGCAGCGGATCGACGCACACCTCCACAGCTTGGTTTGCACAAGTGGCAGACTAGCACACACCTGCTCCTGTGTGAGTGGCAGGACAGCATGCACCCATGCAGCTCAACTTGCATGAATGGCTGGCCAACACATACCTGCCCAGCTTGATTTGCGTGAGCCAGTGCACATGCGTGTGCAGCTCAACTAGCACAAGCTGTGGGCCGGTTCCTCTTTTTCCCACATGGGCCACCAAGCCATAAAAGTTGGGGACTGCTGCCTTATTTAATTATACAGGTACTGTATCTAATATTTGCTGTAAATCATTTAGGTTTGCAACATATTTGCCTGCCAAACTACTGTATATGTCCCTGACAACACTAGACCAATCACAGGCATTCATTAGATACTTGTATACATATACATTATGTAACAAGGGGAACATCAAATGTCCCTGGCTTCAGTCTCTATTGAACAGTTCACTAACCTTTTTATGCATTCATATGCATGCTATACTTCTGTTGTATATTGTTTATTTTAGGAATCAACACTTTCACACAAAACATGTTTTCTTTAAATAAAATTTTCTCATTGATTTGCTTTTCAGGGACCTGTAGAAGAGCAGAATTCTGCCGGGCAAACTCTTTATCTTGTGTGAATCCACATTTAACTTACCAACTGTTGCTCATTTCCACACTTTATACCTTTACGGGCAACAAAATTTTGCTAACCCCCCTCTGTACTTTTCTGCATTTATCCTTGGTGCCTTTTAGTTTCACTGTGGGAACAACAATAATAATCCCATCAAGAAGAGGAAAGGAACTTTGTTTGTCAAAGCCAATTATAATGTTTTTTTTCAGGCCTGTGGATTAGTTCTTAGTATTAGGCTAATAATTAATTTATTTCTCTTTAATTTTTTTAAAAGGCTTTGGAGGTTCTTTTATTGCTCCTTCTCCATCACCTTCCCCTATCACACCAGCTCAGGCTAATATATTGCAGCCCAATTTTGAAGCAGCATTTGGAGCAGCCCCTTCTCCGTCCCCTGCTGGCGGTTCCTTTGATTCCTCAGGTGAGTGAAAGGATTCTTCTGTGCAGCCTTCGTCTCCAAAATATGCTACTGTAATTCTCCCTTATGTCTTCTAAAGTATTCAGGTTTTTTTTTTCATGAAAACATTCAGAAACAGTTGAATATGTAGCATACTACTTGTAATGTATAATTTGCAAAATAGTTCCTTCTACCCACTTCTCTCCCATAGGATCTCAGCACACATCAAACCAAAGTGCCTATATTCTGTATTTTTTTGCATGTGCTTTATATGCATGGTCATTTAAAAGAAGCTCCTGAAATTGCAGATACCTTTATTCCTGTACAACTCGGCATATGGCTATGTGGTGCTACCATTCTCCAGAGCCTTTCCCAAACATGCATGGCACCAGAATTAAAAAATAAAGGAGGTCCAGTGTATTTTGTCCTTTGACACAAGGCTTGACTTTTCATTACTGCTCTGTCGTTTCTGTTTGTGTCTCTTTCATTGTCTACTACCATGCTGGGGCCTTGCTACAAATTTGCGTTTTGGGTGAGTTCTGCAACAGAAAAAAGTAAAGAAACCAAATAGTTTAGTAGTACTTTGCTTTATAGTTACTGCTTGCCGGAGCATAGTGCAACTCTGCTTACTAACATTAGCATGCATACTGTATCTGTTATGACGTTGGCGTTACTGACTATGTAATGTTGCCTGGATTAGATAGTTCTGGTTCATTAGATACAGTGGGAGGATATTAGTTGTTGGGGTTTGTTTTTTTTTTTTGGTATGCAACCATTTGGTCAGCAGCTGTTCCAGCATCCTTGCAATCATGTGATCACGATCTGGCTGCTTGGCAACCCATTTGCACTTAAAGCCACAAGTGCCGCATGATTACATGATTGTCATTTGAACCTTCAATGCCAATTTCTTCCTGGCTCGGGAATTCTGGGAGTTGATGCCCATCTTATCCATATTGGTCCATATATCTTGATGGTTCGTTGGAAGACATGTGTTTTGTGTAGAGCATCATTAGGTTTTTTGTGAAATCCATCTCAAACCCAGGCAGCCTGATATGAATTGCATAGTAAATAACACATGACTACTGTGGTGCATCTATTAGCAGCAGAGTAGTAATGACTTTACCCACAATAAATAAGGAGAAAGGCCCTCATCTTGTCCCATGGCAATATTAATACAGCCTCCCTCCCCCTATTTTACAAGAATTTCCTATCTGTGACCTTTCCAAAACCCAAAGGGCCAGTCTATGGCAGATCATCTTGGAGAAAAATCTGTGTTTGCTAACAGTGACACAAACTTGAAAGTACATAGTCCGTGCTCTTTCCACTGAAAAAGATTTCCCACCCACTGGATTTTTTTTTTCATTTCCCAGGTTATGTCTATCAACAGCAAAAACAATGCTTACCCCAAATCTTTATCTTTTACTTTACTTTCTACCTGCTCCTTTTTTCCCCTCTCCCTGAACTTGTTCCTAGAAAGCATTCATTTTACTTTCTAGCTTCCTTTGTTATGTCAATATTTTAATAAAAATAATCTTTACAAAAGAGACCATTATTTATTATGATTCTTTTCCAAATCTGTAAATCAGGAAATAATGATTAGTTACAACACTCCCACCTCAGACAAACCCTCATGTAAGTCTTAAAGAGCTAATTGGCTAATAAATGGTGATTCCTTTGGTTCAAATGTTGTTGGAAAAATCCAGAAATGAATAGGAAAACCTGAATTAATTTTAGGGGCCATACTGGGTGAAAGTAATGTCAAACTGACTTTTCTTTTTTACTGTTCCAGAAAATGGTAACATTCTCATTAGATTTCTGGACACAATAACATGTGAATCAATGCTACCATATATGAGTGTTAAAAACATAAAGTGTGCAGTACAGCAACATGGACTGTTTTCATAGTTTAAAAAGTCAGGGTTGTCTAATGCTTTGTCTTATTGTAGTATGTTTGGAATTCATTTATTTCAGTGTGTTGGTCGAAAAGCATGCATGCCTCCCATTGGCATTACGTTGGCATTAAATCTGTGTGATGGTTCAAAGATCAGTAGTGATTTTTGTATGTTTTTAAAAGGTTGTGGATTCTCCATTTAAGCATCTGTTTATTACGTGAAAGTTTAATTGCCTGAAAAAGTATTTTTCCTCATCTATTGATTTTCTTAAATTTTCCAGTGTTTGATGGCTTAGGTGATCTTCTTATGCCCACTACAATGCAAACTGGTCAGACTTTGTCCTGTGTAGGCACAGCCATTGCTTCTGCTTCAGCTGCAACCAAACCCATTGGAAGTGATCTTGATTCCTCTCTTGCAAACTTAGTAGGAAGTAAGTCAGAGAAATTGTTAGGTTTGACAGTGATTTTCTTTTTATGACCGTTGATCTTTTACACTTACTGCACCAGTTGGCTATTCCTGAGTTCAGTTACTATGTTTTGAAGGGTGTGTTTCTTCCCTTATGTGGGAGGACAGTGTAGTTGTGTTACAATTTAGGTTGTTACAGAAAGTTCCTTTTCTCATCCTGAACTTTTGAGACCAAGGTGCATCATGTTTTCATATTGCTCAGTCCATGTAATGGACTGTTTAACAAAACATATATTTCTAAGAGTAGCTTTTAAAGTGGAAAATAAAAAAATAATGATTGTTATGGAGGAACAATTAACATTTTCTTAAATTTAGCTTATTATGTCCTGTGTATTTATAGTTAGGAAAGTAATCAAGAAAGTATAACCAAGTAAAGTAATCAAGAAAGTAATCGGGTAAGTTGAGGTCTAGATCAGGTAGAGTTGTGACATCAGTGACTGAATGGTATAAGAAAATTTTCAGAGATATAGTGTAATTATATATAAAATCTAACTATATCATTATATAGTTTATTGTAACTTTTACATAACTGACTGAATGCTGCCTAAGTCAGCTAAACCTGAGTTGCCTATTTATTTGGTGGACAAACATGTTATTTCTTGACATCTACTATCATATGAAACAATCTTTTAAGATTCCTGGTTTCTTTTGCAGATCTTGGAATTTCTGGTACCACAACAAAGAAGTAAGTAGCTAGTTAATGCAAAGTCCCAGATAGTTGTGTATTTCCCTTCTGTACTTTCTAATGTAATACTGTAGTCAATATTTTTATATAGTCCATATATGGCCTTTTGATGGTGGTGTTGGTGGTTAATTATTATTATACATCTAATATTGCAAAAGGTAGAATGATTTTGCAAAACAGTCAAAATGTTATTTTTTTTTCAATCCAAAATGTCAGATTTTACAACCTAATGTAATATCAGTAATCTCCACAATTTCTTCACTTTCCTAAAAAAACAAATGTAAATGACAGATATCCTCAACTTGCTACCACAATTGAGCCTGGAATTTGAGACATTAAGCAAAGCAGTCATTAAGTGTGAGATGCCACATGACTGCCCGCATGACTGCTTCACTCAGTGACCACAGTCCCAGCATTCCTGGTTGTGGCCATCAAACAATCACACAGGTTGTTAAGTGGACAGTGTCCCATTTGGCATGCATTTGGGGTGGAAGACCCTAAGATAGGGCTGTCAAATGTCCCGGCCCGTGGGCCAGATGCGTCACACACTGGCCACACCCATGCCCGGTTTAGGGGAAAGGGGAAAAAAGTCCCAATATGTCATGTGACACCGCTATGACAACATGACTTTGGCATCCCTGCCTTAAGAGGCTGAAAATGTTCCCTGTTGAAATCCAAACAGGATTTTCAGGTCCTCGTGGAGGAACACTTGTGCTTGGCCTGCATTGGCCTCTCAAGTCCTCTCCCATCCATCTGAGACACCCCATGCTCCTTACCTTATTGCACTACCTCTCTGGTTTGATTTTGGCTCCCTCTACGTTCTGTCGGAAAGAGCTGCATGCAAAGGTTGTTAGCTCCTCTGCGTGCATGGAAGGGAATTCCTTCAGCAGGGTGAAAAATGGAACTCAGATCTTCAGGATCTGAATTTAATTCTGTACCCCAGGGAGGTTCTAATCTCTCCTCCGCACACAGACAGGAAATCCTTTGCTGGGGTGCAGAAATGGATTTCAGATCATCAGAATCTGAGCTACATTTCTGCATCCTGTGGATGTCATCTCCATGTGTCAAAGGAAACTCCTTCCACGGGGGTGCAGCAATGAAGCTCAAATCATCAGGATCTGAGTTCCATTTCCTCACCGAACTGAAGCAGTTCAACTTCCCTTGGCAGGTAGCTCTTTTAGCCAGACCCTTGAGAAAAAGAGAGAATCCCCTTGGCAGGCAACAGCAACTTGCAACCTTCTCTATTGGCTTCCCCAGTGACTTTCTGGGAAAGCCAGCAGAGAAGATTGCAAATGGTGACCACATGATTGTGGGCCTTTTGGCAACTGGTCGTAAATTCAAACAAGTTGCCAAGCGCCCAGATTGTGATCAGGTAACTGCAAGGATGGTGACCTGACATTTTACAACACCCCAAATGATTTATGGACTATAAGGCATCCTTTCTGAGGCCTTCATAACTTCAAATGGTCAGTAAATGTCTAGCCCTAAGTCCAGGACTATCTCTATTCCTAAATAAATATGAAGAGGTACAGCAGTGACACTATATATAGTACTTAATTAATCCAGAGGCATGATGCAGTTTCGTCTGTATTGTGGAGTGCAGTTAATGGGTTTTCAAATTCTTTTGTGCTTGTCCTCGAAAACACTTTACAAATTGCATTTTTTTCCTTGTGCTTGGTGAAGATTCGGTCATGTTGACTTGAAATTTATACCAGCTTGTGATCATGCAATTATGCCACCAAGATTCCAGCCCAGAATTTTGCTATGCTATGTAGTTCTGCCTGCCAATAAGTTAGCACTCGTATTCTAAATCGTTCTAAATCTTAGGGGAGACCTTCAGTGGAGTGCGGGAGAGAAGAAGTTAACAGGAGGAGCCAACTGGCAACCAAAAGTAGCACCTGCAACATGGGCGTCTGGGGTTCCTCCGAGTAGCCCCTTGGTAGGTGGAGATATCGCATATTTCATGTAGATGTAGAAAATTCCATGTGAACATGACTGCTAAACTATTGGGACAGAGTTAGTATGTCAAAATACAGCCATATACTAAAGTTTTGAGATCCAAAATTATCAGCATCATTTGTCTATTCCAAAACTGCAGTTTTGATACATTTTTAAGGAAATGGGAGTCCCATCCTATTATTGTTATATGCTGCATTGTTATCTTACTGTTCTAGCAGTGGAACATTTCCTCGTTTCTCAAATGATAATATATTTTGAGTTTGTTTTGCAGTTTTCATATAATTGAGTTGTGTTCTTGCAAGCTAATAAATAATAATGTAATAGTGAAATTGCAATAGGAAACATTTTAACAAAAGACTGTAACGTATTAAATATTGAACAGCGTAATGAACTTTCCCGGTGTAAGGAAAGCAATAGACTAAATGCAAGTTTTTTTTTCTACCAGAAAGGTTGGGCGATTGTTTTTTATGTAAGTAGCCTTTTGTTATGAAGTTGTACTAACTGAGAGACCTGGCTACTACCAAACTAATGCAAAATATCTTTATTTTTACAGTCAACCTAAACTTGAGATACTAATTTGCAAATAACCCTTGCATCTGTAGATCAAGTTATTTTCTGCTTGATAGGTATTTCCAGGTATTTTTTCTTTCTGTGCAGTGAAACAGAGGGGCAGGAATATTTCTTTTAGATATTTTATTCTCTTCATTTATAAGGAAAAGGTACAGTCATTTTACTCTCTGCTGAATAGCTGCCTTTTTGGCACATTTTGCATTCCCAGATACATCTTCTGGACATTGTTTAAATGTAGCTCCACATAAAAAGCATTGGAGTAATCAGAAACAGTTTGATTCCATTTAAAAAACAACCTCCTGTGTTTGTCGTTTTCAACATTTTTGTATGCAGAATAAGTCTAGCTTTTTGCAACACACAATTAATTAAACGAAGTATTTGCAGCAGGATACAATGCCTGCAGTTAACTGATTTGATATCACCTTAATGTTGGCAGCCTCGAGTTCTTTAATAAGTGCTGAAAATTGTGACATTTGACAATTGTCAATACATGAGGGCTTTTAAACTGTTTTTATATGTATAAAATTTAACCAGTTAGTGATTTATCTCTATTACTCCAATCTCTAGACAGGATCTGTGCCTCCAGCAGGTGCTGCCCCCCCTACACCAGGTGCTGCTTCTCCACAAACTGGATCAGGATTTGGAATGGTAAGGACTGACTCAGATAGGAGGGGAAGAGTACTACTTTCCACTTCTCCAAGTGACTTCTTCTTCCTTTATACTGGCCTTTTAAAACATCTCAGTAATCTTATCTGGGAAAATACAATTTGAATAACTACTGGAGATACCAGGGCAGTTCTTCCTGGAAAATGGTCGTCTTTTTCCCAACTGCGTGTTAAGGATCCACATCCTGAAGCTTATCTTCTGAACATTGTGGCCAAAATATATGCTTTTTCCCCTCAAGGAAAAATGTGCATTACATGTTATTATTTCTGGGGGGAAACGCATACAATGTATTGTGTACTGAATAATGTATTCTTCTGTTGCAATGTTCACAGTCCAGTTGCTGGAATTTCCAGCTGACATCTTAAGTTAATATACTCTACTCTGAGATGCACATAGGTGGAAATTGGTTCACATCTGAGAAAGATACCAAAAATGTGTGTGTGCACACACATGCACACACACACACACGGAACATTCCTATTTTATCAAGAGATTTCTTGATAAAATGGCATCTCTTAGACCAGAGATCTCCAAACTTGGCAAGACTTGTGGACTTCAACTCCCAGAATTCTCCAGCCAGCATAGCAGGCTGGAGAATTCTAGGAGTTCAAGTCCACAAGTCTTAAAGTTGCCAAGTTTGGGGACCCCTGTCTTAGACGTTATTTGTTCTCAAATCTTTTCCAGCCGCCTCCTGGAGCTGGCGTTGGGATGATGCCACAGCAGCCTCTTATGTATGGACAACCGATGATGAGGCCACCATTTGGAGCAGCTGCAGGACCTGGTGCACAAGTGAGAACTTGCCTGGTTTTGGAGAAAACAGGAAAAAAAATTTTCCCCTTTTTGTTAAGTCATGTAGGCCAAGTGTTCTACGTTATTTCCTTTTTATTTCTGGAAGGCAATCTAGTGTGACATGTTACTGTTTTCAATTCAAACCATCAAGACTTTTCAAAGTTACAATATAAATTTTGTGTAATTGTTTAGTTTTTAATTTTTAATACCCCCTTTTTAAAAAACTATTTCTTAAGCTGGTCTATTAAAAATATGCCACTGGTGCAAAAATGATTCCTCCTCCCAGTGAATGTTCAAATGTATTTATTTATATTTCATACTTCTGAACCTCTCACCTCCCTCAAAGAGAGATGATACATGATAAAGTGATTTTATTTCAGTTTTTATTTATTAATTTAAAAACTGAACATCACAATAGTTCTCTTATTTACTCAGTGGGACAGAGCATAAGCCCATATTTGTGAAGTGCATATTAATTTTGGTTAGAGATGGATCGTAATAGTTGTAATTGTATTTTTTTTTCTTTCATGCCCTTATACTTCTGGAATAATGGAAAACTATTCAAGGTTTCTCCAAGTCCAACACCTGCCACCCAGAGCCCCAAGAAGCCCCCAACAAAGGACCCATTAGCAGATCTTAACATCAAAGATTTCTTATGAGCTATTTAAGGTATGTTCTTGTTCTTCTATCCTTCCCTCGAATATATTCAAGCTTGTATTCTCCTTTATATTTCACAGGGGGTGCTAAGAATTTATTTTGATTTGAATGATGTTAATTCAGTACTGAGCTTGCTGAAAGAACAGCTCACATGATGTTGAAGGGTTGAACTTGGATAGAAAACACCCAGGTATATATGTTCACACCAGTCATGGAAACTCACTTGGAGGACTTTTTTGTCAGCCCATTCTGCTTCACAGAAAGATTATTGTGGAGAGAAAAGGAAAGAAGACTTCCTTATGAGCCACCTATAACTCCTGAGCAAGGGACAAAGTTTGCACTAGGCAGTAAAAACTATGAACTTTAAAAGCAGCAGTATCTTTCCCTTCTCTGATTCTTACACAGAAAACACAGACATTCGTGTATGCAGCACACTTGCTATCAAACAACCCTATTTCTCCTGACCATTTCTCCACTTCAAGAGTGGAATTTAAGCACTAGACTAGTATCTTGAATCAAATGTTACAGGTCTGTCGCTCTCTGTTTGTATGTATATGTGCCAAAGATAGAGAATGATACGCGTATGAAACTCTTCTATAGAATAGCTGTGGAAGAAAATGTGTTTCCAATTATTTTACATCTTAGGAAAAAAGAAGAGATCATTACATAGCTGAGGGAAAGGAAGGTTATATCATCGGTCGTCTGGCATATAAATCAGATTATGAAACTGAATTTGAATGGCTGTCCCTTAAATTTAATAACACTTCTTTCCCCCCTTCTTTTTGTGATTGTAGTTTTGTGAAAGGATAAGTGAAGACGCAAGTTTGGAATCTGCAAACAAGAATTTTGTTGCTCAGAATTTCCAAGTGAGCCACCAGTACCAAACCCAGTGCTTACTCAGACTTCTCTCCTACTTTCAAAACGTGTAGCACAGCTGTGAAAGTGATCATAGGAATGTGTACTATTTTAGTTGTTATCCCTTCTCTCTCTCTCTCTCTGTTTGTGTACTTGGGTTATAATTTATGTGTTTCTCAACTTAAACAATGGATGTATGTTTCTGATGCCTTCTTAGTGCTTTTCTGAACCAATCCATTAGGAACAGATTATGCAGCTGTTGTGTGGTGAGCCATTTGGAGCGATGTGTCTGTGTTTCTGGAGGTCTTAATGTAAATAACCTTGGCGACCCTCTAAATTTTCTCTTCAAATCCAGTTTCCTTTGCATATCTGTTATACAAAACAATATTGTGGTTATATCAGGTAGCAAGAAGAACACTGTTGATCCTTTTTTTAAAAGTGTGTGGAATGTTTTTTTTTTCCAAGCAAGATTATTATCAAATTTTTGTGGGGTACATTTTAATTTCCTGACATTTTATCTACTAATATGAATGAAATTCATATTAATAATCTTCTATCAAGTTACGTGACAAAGGTTGTTAAAAAAATCCCCCACATAAAAATATTTTATCAGATTTCTTTTTAAAAAAGTGTCTTTTATTTTCATTAAAACCATCATATTTATCATTGTTATTTAAAATGCACTGAAAACAAGTAAAGGGTAAGTTTCTTGCCATATAATTCAGAAAAATCAAACATAACAAAAACAAACTCCTTTAGGTCTGTCAGGCTACTTTGGCTGCCCACTGTTCCCAGGGGGAAATCATGAATTTTTCTCCCCTTTTGCTTTTATGTACATCTGTCGGTTTTGTTCTTTTCTGTACATATCTTAGATTAGTGTTTTTCATCCCCATACAGCACTATGTATTTTCTGTACTGTTTGTGATTAGAGGTCACACTGAACCTGAATTATGCCCTTTACCGTAAAGAAAAGTGTTCTTTTATCATTTTAGTTTGTTCTCTCATACTGTGTGTGCTGATGGCTTAGCTTAAGATTTTTGACTTCTTAATAAGGTCACTGTTGATCAGTGTTACAAGTGGCTTGGCAGCTCTTTGTTAAAGCATATTAGGATGGAAAGATGTTCATCTAAGTCTTTCAAATTAATATTTAATCAACATGTGGTACTATTTTTAAAAAGTGGTTGTATATTGTTGGGATAACATACCTTGTAACGACAGAGAGTTAGAGAGAGAATTTCAAATGGATTTGCTTTGTATTTTGGTTTGAGGAAACCCAATGCATGTATACCCTCTGAGATGCAATAAAACACCTTGATCAAAGTAAATTCAAAATAAAGTGGTCTCTATTTTTTAAAATTATCCAGTTTATGATTATAGTAGAGTACAACTGCAGTAGGGTTGGTTTTCAGAGTTTAATAATTGTGGTCTAGAGAACAGGTTTCTTGATGTTTTGTCAGCAACTGTGGTATCTTTAAAGGCAAAGTGATCTGCTAGGCAACTGAGCAGAGACACCAACCTGCACCAATGGGAAACCAACTCAACTAAAGGCCAGTTAGAAGTCAGAACACCTGGCTATTAAAAACAAGGGCCCAGTCAAACCCTGCTCATTTTCTTAGTTCTGATGATGCCGGACACAGTGAAATGTGAATGGTGAAATGTCAAGAAATCTTGTTTTCTAGACCAGGGCCATTTAGCACTAAAGCTTATTCACTATCCAGCCAATGGCAGTAGTGAAAGTGGTATATACTAAACCAGTATATAACACTGTTAGTTTATTTTTTTTTTAACCTTTCTACAAAACAAAATGATCTTGTTATTTTATTCTAAAATTAAGTCATGCCAAATGTATGCCAACACACCCTCTGTGGAATTCATTAGCATTTTAAAATTCATATACGTACATTTCCTGAAATGTGCAAAGTCACTTCAACAATCTGAAATAGAGTGCTCTGTATTGTTATTCTATAGCAATTTATTCAATCAGTGAAGCTTGGTTCTAAAAAAGCATGCACAGCAACATCAATCAATACAAGTAGTATACTGGGAAGATATTGATGTCAGTTGATACATTGGGTTAATTGGCATTGCAATATGTGTTTTTTTAACCATTGAAACAAGTGATTTCATCTCAAAAGACGTACTGCAGATTTGGAAAAGGTTCTAAATAGGACAAATAAAATTATCCTAAAGCTAGGAACCCTTTTCTCAACTAGAATGAGGACTTGGAACTGCCATTTCCTGAAATTCCCTGTCTTTGGTATGTTGGCCACATTCTGGGAATTTTAGTATCAGTGTACCTGGCTGAGTCATAAAAATATCAAAAGGATTATGAAAAACATAATAGAGGAATATAAAATTATAGTTTGATGAAAGCAGCTACAGTGTTTTTTAATAACAGTCAGATTGGATTTTATTTTTCTGTGAGAGATGTGAGATAACCCAGTAAAGCTGATCATGGGAATTTATAACAGGCACAGTATTTAGTTAAATCACAGAGTCCCTTACTATAGTACTGCCAACTTAAAAAGAAATAAGACAAATTCATGAAAGGATAATGCTTATGGAAGTTAGACGTAATGTTAATTATGCTACATGCACTGTTTTGGGGTATTTTTGCTGTAGATATGCCAGTATAATAAGAGTGAGAAGCAGCATGCTTTTGAACTGAGATACAGCAATGGTCATAAGTATGAACCAGTTGCCAAGCATCTGAATTTTTATCACATGCTCATAGGAATTCTACAAAGGTGGTAACTCTGAAAAACAGTCGGTCATTAGCCACTTTTTCAATCCCGTTGTAACTTTGAACGGTCATTAAATGAACTGTTGCAAGTCGAGGACTATCTGTATACTTCTTCAGTCCATATAGCAAAAAACTCCCAGAATTGTGCTCAAGATTCCTCTTTAGGAAGGTTAGATTTTAATTAACTGAGAGAATTATATTATCTTAATTTAGATCATTAAAGGCTTAAACATTGTACACAAAGTTATATTCAAAAGAAAGATGCTTTAATTCCAGACTGCTTCATTGGCCATGTATTCATAAATACAATTTACTCTTGATTTTGAGATTTTTAATAGCCCTGCATTTATAGCCCTCTCCATCTCCACAAACGAAAGGGAAAAGTAATAATTCTGAAGCCTTAATTTAAAATCCTGTTGATCAAGTCTGGACATGTTCAGTTGCATTATTTGAATTAACTGCAAAGGCTTAAGCGGGAAGCTTCTTAGCAGACCAATATTTTAATTTTGAGGAAAGTGTTAAGTGGAGATCTTGTTTAATGTATTTAAAAAAAATGGTTATGAAGGTGCTTTTTTTTTAACAGTGCAGCCCTGAGTTTTAGAAACATTATAACATTCATTATAACTTCTATTCAAAGAATTTGTATTAAAACTGGAAATAAAATGAATATTTGCTGAGTTTTCACACGTGATATTCCTGTTTAAAGGTTAGAAAAAAACCCTAATGCTTAGAAGGTTGAGTTGAGAACTTGTTTTATTATAAAATAATAAGGTTTAAGAAATGTTTCTTACACATTCAAAATGTTTAAGAAATGTTAAACTGAAATATAGGCTTTTAAAACCAAGGCTGCCCCCTGCTGGATAACAGTATGGTATGATAAATGTAAAGAAATACACCATGCCACTTTCCGTGTCATCCTTTTCACCTTATCACATCACTGGTATGATAATCATATAAAGGTAATTGGTGACAGTCTGGAATTTGCTGTGAAATGGAGCTGCATAGACTCAAGATTCTTTCAGACAGGATTTCTGTGGTTGCAACTAAGAATCAATTGTGCAGATAACTGTTCTCTAGCATATGGAAAAACAGATTAACAGATAACAGATAATCAGAGTTGGAAGGGACCTTGTAAGTCATCTAGTCCAACCCCCTGCCCAAGCGGGAGACCCCACACCATTTCTGACAAATGGCAGTCCAATCTCTTCTTGAAAGTCTCAAGTGATGGCGCTCCCACAACTTCCGGGTGCAAGCTGTTCCATTGGTTGATTGTTCTCACTGGCAGAAAGTTTCTCCTTATTTCCAGGTTAAATCTCTCCTTGTTCAGTTTCCATCCATTATTCCTTGTCTGGCCTACAGGTGCTTTAGAAAATAGCTTGACCCCTTCCTTTCTGTGGCAGCCCCTCAAATATTGGAAGACCGCTATCATGTCTCCCCGGTCCTTCTCTTCATTAGCCTAGCCAAGCCCAATTCCTGTAACCGTTCTTCATATGCCTTAGTCTCCAGTCCCCTGATCATCCTGATTGGTCTCCTCTGTACTTTTTCTAGAGTCTCAACATCTTTTTTATAATGTGTTGACCAAAAGTGGATGCAGTACTCTAGGTGTGGTCTTACTAAGGCTTTACAGAGTGGTATTAGTACTTCCCTTGATCTTGATTGTATCCCTCTGTTAATACAATTTAGGATTGCATTAGCTTTTTTGGCTGCTGCTGCACACTGCTGGCTCATATTTAGCTGGTTGTCCACTAAGACTCCAAGATCCCTCTCACAGTTACTGCTATTGAGCCTGGTTTCACCCCGTCTATATGCGTACTTTTGGTTTTTCTTGCCTAAGTGTAGGACTTTACTTTTCTCTACATTGAATTTCATTTTGTTAGATATGGCCCAGTGTTTTAGTCTGTCCAGATCCATCTGGATGTTGAGCCTATCTTCTTAGGAGTTAGCTATTCCTGCCAGCTTATTATCATCTGCAAATTTGGTAAGTTCCCCTTCTATTCCGTCATCTAAGTCGTTAATGAAGATATGAAGAGTACTGGGCCTAAGACAGAACCTTGTGGCACCCCACTGCTTACTTCCCTCCATGTAGCCTTAGACCCATTAAGGACTACTCTTTGAGTACAGTTTGCCAGCCAGTTGCAAGTCCATCTAGTGGTGGTGCTATCTATTCCACGTTTTTCTAGCTTACTAAGAAGTAGGTAGTGGTCTACTTTGTCGAATGCTTTGCTGAAATCTAAATATATTATGTCCACAGTATTTTGCTGGTCTTCTAATTTAGTCACTATGTTGAAGAATGAAATAAGATTGGTTTGGCATGATCTGTTCTTAACAAACCTGTGCTGACTGCTAGTTATTACTTTACTTGTTTCTAGATGTTGGCAGATCTGTTTTTTAATTATTATTTAGTATTTTCCTGGGTATTGATGTTAGGCTGATTGGTCTATAGTTTTCTAGGCCTGTTTTTATTTCCTTTTTTGAAGAAGAGAACTGTTATGTCCTGAGAACTCTAGGAGTTCTCACTCAGGTCCACTCACTTTGTGTGGGCGTTATTCCCCCATTCCCATTGGTTGGTTCTCTCCAGCAGCCAGCTATAAAAGCAGGCTGCGGGGTCCAACCAGTTGCTGATTGCTGCGAGCCAGTTCCAGGCGTGGCAAGCACGGTCAGCCCTTTATTGTAAAATAAAGTATTGTTGCACTCATGCTCTGGTTCAGCCTCTCATTGCTCAAACTTAACACTGGCGACGAGGATGGGATGGCTACCAGAAGCACCATGCAACCGCTGAGTCACTAGCCACCGACCCGCAGCCCAGAGAGAGCGATCGGCTGGCGATAAGGGAAACGCTGATCCGCAGCCAGAGAGAGCGGTCAGCCAACAAAACGAGCGATCAAAAAGAGCAAACGCTGATCCGCAGCCAGAGAAAGCGGTCTGGTTCAAAAAGTTAGAAGCGTCTGTAGCCGCTTGTTAGCCCCGCTACGGGGAAAGTGAAGCGCTGCGAGCCGCAGCCGCTCTGTATTTGGCGCGAAATTCAAACGGGTGTCATTTGAATTTCGAGTCAGTAGGAGACACAGCACAGCGCTGTAGGAAGTCACTAACACCCACTTTTGGCGTGAATCAAGACACCTCCAACGGCTAGCAGCCAACGTGGTAACCCAGAGAGAGAAAGAGAGGGTAGCAAAAAAACCTCTCCAGAGCTGATATCACTAGTAACTCACGAGCGCCCGTTGTCCCAGAGAGATTTTTCCGCAGGTAGCCCAGCCGTCCAGCACCATGAGTTCCAACCCAGTATTCCCGGCGTTTAAACCAGACGAAGAGAAGTGGGAATCGTATAAGAACCGCTTCAATCATTACATCGATGCGGTCGGCCTGGCGGATGCGGGAGAGCATCGGAAAAAATCCTATTTCCTAATCTACTGCGGAGCCACCGTTTACGATACCGCCGCAGCACTCGTGGCGCCGAGAGAATTGAAAAACGTTCCGTGGTCCGAGTTGCTTGAGATCCTCACTAACCACTACGCTCCCAGGCCTTCACAAATCGCCAGGAGGTTCACGTTCCGTATGAGGAAGCAATCAAGTAA